TAACTTAACACTGCCTAGTTTCCATGGCTTTCCTTTAAAAAGAGGGAATTTTGACTGCTTTCCTTGCTGAATACTAAGAAAAATATTTCCCTATTCTTTCAGAGGAATTAGAGAAAGAAGGAAAGAAAGAGAGAGAAGGAAAGAAAGAGAGAGAAAGAAAGAAAGAAAAGAAAAGACATCAAATCAGATGTCCTGCCTTTTTTAACTTTACTCGAGTAATTATGTGTTTATTATCCACTTACTAATTACATAGCTATATGTCCTCTTTTTAAAATTTGCACAAATATTAGCACAAATCCTTGTTAAATGATTACAAGCTACTGTTCATGATTTGGAATTAAAAGGTATTTTGGGTAAAATATGGAACAAATGATAAATATCTTAAGAGAACAGACCCAATAGATATGTTCGTTAGGAACATAAACAAGATGGGGTAAATCCCCAAAGAACATCCAGAAATGAACTAATGTGCCATGCTATGAATAATAAGAATCCAAGGGTTCCAAAGGAAAATGTGCACTTCAGTGACATTAGATAAAATGCCTCTAACGGCCCCTTAACTAGCCTCTTAAAATTTGACCAGCTTTCGATTTTCCCACTGAAGAAATTAAAAAAGAAGAAAATACCGTTATCAAATATAATCAGCTTGCTCTCTAGCTTGTCTGTGTACATACAAAATTCAGACATAAAATCTATTATGGAAATTTTGATCTCCTTGATCTTTCTCACAGAATTAAAGGGAAAGCAGAAGATCGGGGTTTTATTATGTAAGGGCCATATTGCATTGCCTGTGGCTTCAAGCATTGCTTTTTTTCAACTGAGAATTTCCAGAGGATGGCATAAAGCAGGATAGTGCGGTTTTAGTAAAACCTTACAACCGTGCCATTGAAAGTCCTGATGAAATACGAAGAGATGAGTCCTTAGAGTAAGGGAGTCACGGTAAAGCTATCATTGGATTATTTAGAGTAAATTTCAACATGTTTTTCCTATTCCTTTTTTTAAAAAATTTTATTTTTTTGAGACAGGGTCTTACTCTGTTTCGAGGGCTAGAGTGCTATTCTTTATTCTACTTCAGGGTTTCTTACCTCCAGGAGAAATGTAGAAGCAGTTGAGTTGGGCTTCACGCACCAGGGTACCCTTAAACTTGACCTCTGTTTCCGTAGGCAGGTGACTAGGAAGCGGCTGGTATGCAGGCGTGACGGGCTGAACAAAGGCTCGCAGCATTGTGAAATTCCAGATGTATACTAACTGGTTGATTTTTAAAAACTAAATATCCTGCTCGTGATCTTTTCTCCTTGTAATATTTTAAAGTTCAGAAGCTATTCCCACTGTAACATTTCAGTGCCACAAAAATTTGTGCAGCCATATCACATAACTGCAAATTTAGGTTACAATCATTACTTCAAGTTTTAGGATTCTAAAAAACCACGCCTTCTTTCTTGGTTCTTTTCAAACTTGTCTTTTTCTATCTTTCCTGCTCTGCTCGCTGCCTGTGCAGGTACGGGACTCTCACCCAGTGGCTTCACAGGAAAACTTGGATTGAAATGTAGGGCTCATGGTCTCTGTCAGCCTGTCAGCTCGTCACCTCCCTAAGGCAGGGTGATCTCTGGTTTTATATATCACCACAGGCTGCTCTGATAGACCCTCTTGTGTGGAAGAGTGATAGGTTTGTCCAGGGGTTGGTGGACCTTGGGCCTAAGAGGCAGAAAACTTCACTTGGAATGTGTACTTTAATGGAATGCACAGCCCCTTTTTCTAAGTGGAATGCAGCTCAAGTTGCAAAACTATTTTAGGGAGAAAATAAATTAGGCCCAGTTCTACATTTTATCTTGGTGCCACCTGTCAGTAGCCAGAACTGTTGGTAAATCTGTCCCCCCGCCCCCAGGCTATTTAAATTTTATGTTCAAACTGTTACCTGGGATGAAAAGAGTTATTTCAAAATGATCGCATTTCAATTTTAAAACCGTATTGCTTTAGAGGTAAATAGTTGGATCCCAAAGAAGTCTCCACAATGTCTTAAATAATTACTGCAAACCCAGTCTTTCCTTCATTCTGCTTTGACATTTGAAAGATGTTTTCATAGCATTTTTCCTTCCTAAATCTGCATTTCAGTATCTCCTGGCAATGACGATGTCAAACTGCTTTTCTATTTGTATCAACGGTTTCCTTGGCATCCCACCCTTGTGAAAACCTAGTTCCTTATGTCAGATGCCACAGACGCACATTAAAAAAGACACCCGAAATATTTATATTCATAGATCTACTGATGAAATAATAATGGCTGGCTTTTCCTCTGCCACTTGGCCTCGGGCTTCTGAGTTATGCCGTGTTTTCTCCCTTGCTACTGCCTTTCTTCTTTGGTAGTTTTGGAAAACTCAGTCTCCACAGAAAGAAAATTTTCACTGTAACCAAAAAAAGAACAAAAAACAAAAAACCCCCAAACCAGACCAGGCTCCTAGTTTTGTATTAATAACTAAGATTAAAGCCACCAAAGCTCACAGATATACTCAGAATTATGAAGTGTTGAATGTCAATGATCCAGTCTGCTATTACTTCCAAGAACATGAGGGTGGAGGGGTTGGCATGTGGAAATCTGTGGGGATCAGAGGAAGGAATTGGTGTTGATGAACTGGAGGCAACTCGAACATGAAGTTTTGAGACACACGTTTAATGATCTTGAGGTGAAAGAATTTTGTTTTGATGTAAAAGCTCTCATAGCACATGGGCCTCAGAACCCAGATGTTCTTGAAAAAAAAAAAAAAGATTGTCCATGTACAATCTTTTGTACATGAAGGAGGAGGAAGGAGGAATATGTGCATGTTTTTCTGTCTAAGAGGCTAGAATGGTCCTGTGCAAGAAAAAGCCGGGAATTTTCTTTCACTTTTTCCCCCTTCACATGTAGGTGGTAAGATAAAGATTTCTGACAGACCAATAATTGCAAAAACAAAGTCTAAAGCCCCATTGCCACCTTTTGGCAAGTTAGAAATCCAGATTCATAAGCTTCCTCTTAAGATATCTGCTTAAAATAGCACTAGAAGGACATTTCTTTTTTTTTTTTTTTCTAGCGTGGCAGTCAATGTGTTAAATAATCCACACTATCTTTTTTTTTTTTTCTTTGAGACAGAGTTTCAGTCTGTTGCCCGGGCTAGAGTGCTGTGGCGTCAGCAGCTCACAACAACCTCAAACTCCTGGGCTCAAGCGATCCTTCTGCCTCAGCCTCCCGAGCAGCTGGGACTACAGGCATGAGCC